AGGCAGGACGATCCTTGAGAGTTCGAGACCAGCCTGGGCTACAAAGTGAGCTCAAGGCCAGCCTGAACTGCATAGTGAGATCTTGCCTCAAAAAAGACCAAAGGAAAAAAAAAAAAATTCACAGCCAGTGACTGCAATGGCACACACTTGTAATCCCAGCAGTTAGGAGGCTGAAACACGAGGATTGCTGTGATTTCACAGCCAGCCAGGGCTACACAGTGTATTCATGGCCAGCCTGAACTACACAGTGAGACTATAGTTCACTACAAAGCCAGAACTGGGCATGGTGGCACACAACAGTAATCCCAACACTCCAGAGGCTGAGCCAGGAGGACTTCTGTGAGTTCAAGGCCAGCCTGAACTGCACAGCAAGACTCTGTCTCAAAAAGGAAACAAACAAGTAATTCTGAGCCAATTCAACTGTCTACCAGTTGGCCTGAGTTTCAGAAAAACCATTTCCAAAGTAAGTGTGGACTCATTAAGTTTTCTACAAGGTCCCCAGAAAATGGCATACAAGCCTGAAGTCACTATAAAGACAAATAATGTTGGAAGGCAAGGTGCTGGGATAATTAACCTCCATGTGATATTTAGGAAAAATGAAATGGGAAGTGAGACCCATTCTAAGGAACACTTTATTACAGCTATATCAATCTATTATAGTTGGTATTATGTGACAACTCATATATGGAAGATGAGAGAAAATGGAATCAAACAAGTGACTTCAATCAGTTTTACTTCCTGTTCTGTCCACGTATTGCAGGTACCTGTTATAAATATTTAAAGCATACAAGGCCAGGGGCTGGGGATTTAGCTCAGCGGCAAAAGTGCCTGCCTGGCAAGCGCAAGGTGGTGAGTTCGGTTCCCGGTACCGGAGAAAAAACAAAACAAACAAACAAAAAAAGCATACAAGGCCAGACGTGGTGACACAGGCCTGTAGTCTCAGAACTCGGGAGGTGAGATAGGAGAACTGCTGAGACAGGAGGACTGCTGCAAGCTCAAGGCCAGCCTGGCCAAGTGAGCTCAAGGTTAGCCTAAACTAAGTAAGACCCTGTCTCAAAACACTAAAGGGGAAAAAAAACACACAACAGGCACTAAAACTTTTTTTTAAGTGAATGAAGAAAAGATACAAATGGTAAGCAGTAACCAACAGCTCACACACATAAAACATTTTAGATTAAAAAAGCAGGACTGGCCAACTGTGGTGGCACACATCTGTAATCCTAGCACCTGGGAAGTCAAGCCAGGAGGACTGCTGTAATTTTGAGGCCAGCCTGGGATATATAAGCGAGTTCAAGGCCAGCCTACAGTACATAGTGAGACTGTCTCTCAAAAGAAAAACAAAAAAAAAAGCAGGACTGGGGAAATAGCTCAGTGGTAAAGTGCTTGCCTAGCATGCCTAAGGCCCTTGATTTGATTTCTGAGCAGAGCAAAAAAAAATTAAAAACCCTGAATTCCAACCAAAGGCAGCAAAGCTTTACAAAACTGACATTTTTCACAGGCACATTTTGAAAGCAATCATCTACATTTGCACCTAAATTGAAAAATCTCTGTATCACAAATAATACCTTCCACACAGGATACATGAAAACTGAGTTAAGAATTTCCTTTTGAACCATTTCCATTACCAATGTCCTGCTAATAATATAGAAAGTCAGTAGAGGAAGACAGTAGACTATCCCATATACATTACACCAAGTGCTACCTTCAGGTAAACATGTAATGACCATTTTAAAGTAACTGTGCTGCCTCAAAAAATTAAACACAGAATTACTATGTGATCGAGTAATTCAATGTCATGTATATACCCTAAAAACTAAAGCGAGGACTACAATACACTTTGTACACCAATGTTCAAAGCCACCTTATTCACAACAGCCAAAAGGTAGGAAGTAACCTAAATGTTCACTCAGGATGTATGGATAAAGAAAATGACAGAATGTGTAGCCTGGCCCAGTGGTGTATACATGTAGTCCTCCTGATGTAGGCCTGAAACCTGGAGCAGGAGAAGCCTGAAGCAGAAGGATCACTTGATCTTGATAGTTTGGGCTCAGCCTGGGGCAACAGAGTGAAACCCTATCTTTAAAAGCAAAAGGGTACTCAGACTGCCAGACTAACATAATGTTTTACTTCTAAAGAGAAGCTTCTGGGCATGGTGGCACACGCCTGTAATCCCTGCACTCGGGAGGCTGAGGCAGGAAAATCATTGTGAGTTCGAGACCAGCCTGGACTACTAAGTGAGCTCAAGGCCAGCCTGAACTGCATAGTGAGACCCTGTCTCAAAACGATACACAATCAATCAATCAATCAATGAGAAGAACGGTGGATCCAAAAGAGTGACATTTAATTCCCAGCTTTATTTTTTTTTAACAAAGTATACAATTCCAGCTTTAATATAATGGTTCTATCCTGGGAAGATTTTGAGCAACAATTTTTAAAATAGTACTACATTCAATCTTTCTTCATTGCCATTATTGAGTGACTTTGTCCAAGTTACCTAGCCTTTCTGAGCCTCATCTGAGAAATGGGGATAATAATTATTTTCTAACATACATAAATCTCTCACACAGAGGTCAGTGCCTGGATTGAGAAAATCTCAAAACAAGAAAATTCCCTCCTCTCCTGCTGTTCACTAGCATATGCAACCTGATCTGCCCGCAGGGGCTGATGTTGTGGCCAGAAAGCTATGGCTCCTCCCTCAGGCCCCAGCTGTTTCTCCCCCTCTTACTGGTTTCACTCCCCTTTCTAAGAGGGTCAGGTCTATATTTAGGGGTCATGCCAGTACCAACTGTGGATCCAACAGGTGCCTGGAGAACACCTGAACACTGAGCAGTTCTCAATTGTTTTCCAGTTAATTAATTGGTTTTGGCTCCACGACAGCTGTCTTGACTTCTACAAGTAAGAGTGCCACATATGCATAGGGCTTCAGCAGCACACTAAACAGAAAATCAAGTGTGACCACAAGACAAACTCTGAGCAAGGTGTTTTTAGCTTTCTTATAGGTCCCCAAAGCTCTGCTAAATTGTAACAATAAACTTTCTATAAATTCAACAAGTATAGCCTACTAATACAATCTTTATCAAAATCACTGGTGTATCAGATCCAAGTTTCAACCAGTTTACGCTGCTTTACTACAACTAAGGTGGGGGTAGAACAGAAAATCAAGACAGTGAAGTTTTGGGGGTTTTTTGGGTTTTTTGGTCTTTTGGAGACAGGGTCTTGCTATGCAGTTCAGGCTGGCTTTGAGCTCACCTTGTAGCCTAGGCTGGCCTTGAACTCACAAGATCCTCCTGCCTCAGCCTTCAAGTGCTGGGATTACAGGGGTGCACCATTATGCCTGGCTCCAGACAGTGAAGATTTAAAGAAGACTTTCAGCACAGCTCAGTCTGGATCCAGCTGTTATTCACTAGCTCTGTGCCCTTAACTGTTTATGACAAGGGAACAACTGTGAGGATTAAATTAAATGAGGTAATCCACACAAAAAAATCTCAGCACCTTGCCTAACCCACTGAAAGGTCAATGAAGAATCACATCACAGCCAGTTGTGGTAGCACACCGCTTTAATTCCAGCACTCCAGAGGCTGAGGCAGGAGGATAGCCCCAAGTCGAGGCCAGCCTAGGGTATGCAGTGAGTTCAAGACCAGTTAAAATTACATAGAGAGACCCTGCCTCAAAAAAAAAAAATCACTAATTAAGAACACTGCACTCCTTCCTGCTTTGCTCAGTTCCTGTAAGAAAAGTACAATCTAGATCATTATTTTTGGACCTTTATAAAGTAGCCTAAAGCTACACCAGAGACATAACTGAAAAATATACTGATGAATGCACAGAAATCTCAGATGAATCAGCAAAACTTATGCCAAATAAACAAAAAGCTTAACATAGACTATTCATAACCACATAATGGTAACTACAATTTCAAAATCAGCAATATTCCATTTAGCACCATCCCAAAGTTGGATGGAAAATCCAAGTGTTAAAAAAATGCAAAGATCATAACCCTAGAAATACTTTCCCACAATAGTCCCAAATCACCTAGGACAAACTGGCAGGTAGGAGGCGCCTGATAATTTGGAATAGTCATCAAGAAACAGTTTCTTAAGAGAAAATTCCAACTCTCCCTCAAGCATAAAACCAGTAAAAACGTACCTGGACATTTCTCAGGGAGAAAATGCAACTCTAACAGAGTATAGATAACTCAGATTTCATCACTTTTTGATCCAGCTGAAAATAAGCTCTGGGTTCTTCCCCAAACACCCTGAACTCTGCACCATCACTCACTTAACTCAAAGGCAATGTATATTTGGTGATCTGTCCTCTCCTTTCATTCATTACAGATAGACTAAATACAGTAACTTGCTAAACAGGTAAACAATTATACGTCCATCCTGAGAAAGACCCACTTTCTGAAAGAACCCAATCATCTTGGAAGAATTAAGGGAGATATTCCTATAGTCTACCTACTCTACACACACTAGTTCTACCATCTGCTTTAATTCAAACCCAAACCCTATCTATTGCATTTCTCTCCCTCTTAGCGTTGTTTTCTACTCTGCTTCTCTCTCAGTTATAAGAATGCCCTTTTATTTATCTTCAAATCTCACTACGGCCCTCAAATCCTAAGGACCTGGGACACCCACATAGATGACCTCACGCATCCCCATTTCATTGTACTTCACATCCCAAATGAACTCATTCTTTTCGATCTTGCTCGTTTCCCAAAATACAATACCCAACACACGCTCACACCAGAGTCCCCTCTTGCTCCATTGTTTCCCTGGCCTATTCCTTCTGGAAACTCCCCAACTCGGACCCGTGTGCCTGCCCGCCCCGCTAAACCCTTGCCCCTCAGGGCGCTCCCGATCCGAAAGGGCTCACGTTCCCCGCCTCGGTCCCCCAACCCCCAACAACTGTTCCCTCCCCATTTTCCCCGCTCGAGCCCGCCCTCCACCTCCGTGCCCCCCAGCGCCGCCAACCCCTTCACCCAGCACCCCCAGCCTCACCTAGCCCAGGACCCGCAAACGCCGCGTCCTCCCAGTTCCGGGCTCTGCGTCCCGGACGCTCCTGGCTCTGAAAAGAGGAAAGGGAGATCTTCCGCCTCCTTCTCCTCGGCTTCTGGAGCCGCCGCCGTGGCCGCCACGCTCCTCCCCCAGCTCTCTCCGGGCCGGACGCCGCCCGCCCCCACCGCCGCCTTCGCCGCCCTCCCCGCTTTCCCCGTCTGTCGGGCAGCGGACGAGGAATCGCAGCAGCGGCTGGGGGCCCGACAGCCCGCCGACCCGCACCGACCCTCGCCGGCTCCAGCCGCCCCCCCCGCCCCGGAGCCCTCCCGGGCGCGTTCGCGCCGGCCAGCCAGAGCGCAGGGCGCGTGCTTGCGCCGGCGCGAACCTGGCGCGCCCGGCTCGAGGCGGTTGCAGCCAACCGGCGCGCGAGCGAGGATCAAGTGTGGGGCTACCTGCGCGTCAGACACCTTCGCGTGGAAGGTGCCGGGCGGGAGGCGGGCCGCAGCCGGGCCCGTCACCGCTCCTCTGGTGGGAGCGCGGGCGTTGGCGAGGGCTGGGAATTACCGGGGGTCTGGAAGAGTGGGACGCGCTAGACGGAAGGCGGGTCCTGGAAGGACGCGCTCTCGGGTCGAAGTGTCGAGGCGTCCAAGGCCCGAAGTGGGGCTGGGCGGGGCGGGCCCGGGGAATAGAGCCCGCCGGGGGCGGAGGGCCGAGCTGCAACTGACGGAAAGAGACGAAACTCCCCCGGAGGCGGCCGAAGGTGAGCGCCAGGGGGCAACCTCGCACGCCGCTCTCGCGCCACGTCCCGGTTCCGGCTGTCTCAGCCCGCCCTCCTTTGAGCTGCTCGCGACGCCGCCCTTTCTCCGTCGCCACCTTCCAGACCCAAGTTTTGCTCCAGAAGGCTCTTTCCAAAGCCATCGGCTGCGGGAAACGCAGGACCTCCGAGGAGTGCTTGAGGCGGGCGGGCGGGCCGACGAAGAGGATGCGCCGGCCAGACCCGGAATAAGCTCGCCTCGGGGGCGAGCTGAGGGTTCTCTGCCCCGTCCGGGTTTGCTGCACGTGCTGCCCGAACCCAGCGACTCGGAGGACTTCTGATTGCGCAGCTCGAGGCTTCCCGCAGTCCATCTGATCCTCCGTCTCCGTAGATTCCCATCCTCCGGCGTCCCCCCAGAACCGGCGCATCTCTACTGTTCGTGCATGTGGGAGGCACTCGCCTTACGGTCTGCTGGTCGGGGTCCCTTGGGAGGCGCTGACGGCTGGGATTCAGACAGTCTGCATTGAAAAGATTGATTAGAATCTGTCCCCATCTGACCTTTGGAGGCCAAGCCATGGGGCTCTGAACAGACACCAAGAAGAAGCCCGAGAGTGTGTATAAGTGGGTAGACACTACAGACACAATATAGTTTTAGTTTTCACACGTTTTGTTGTCACAGTGCATGTAATGGAATAGTACAGTAGATAGCTACCAACCCATCTAATCGTTGTGGTTCTTTACATGGAAAAGGAAGGGGATCAAAACTGGAGCCCACTGACCTTGCTTTGCAAATTTTTTTAAGTCAGGCCTCATTTAGTTCAGACTGGCCTTGAACTCATATCGAGCCACGTGCCTCAGCCTCCTGAGTGCTGAGACTACAAGCATGTGTCCACACACCTAGCTCCAATAATATGGTTTAACAGATCTGAAGAAATACGGGCAGCACATGGTGGTACATACCTGTAATCTCAGTACTTAGGCGGCTGAGGCAGGAGGATCATAAATTCAAGACTAGCCTGGATTTAGAAACACCTAATTTCAAAAAGGTCTTGAGATACAGCTCAGTGATAAAGTGCCCCTGGGTTCAGTCCCCAGTACTTGAAAGGGAAAGGAGAGGGAGTGAAGGAGAGAGAGAAAAGGAAGCAAAAGCAAAAGAGGAGGTCATCAGCCAGCTAGCTAGTTAAGGCAATTGACCAGGTGTCTGCTCACAAGTGGATCTTCTTTCAAAAACTCAAATAAAAGCCACCCATTGAAATATCTGCTATCAGTTCCCGGTACCGGAGAAAAACCAAAAAAAAAAAAAAAAAAAAAAAGAAATATCTGCTATCTTTTCAGTCACTAAATTGATGTAAGTACCCAGTGATAGGTATTGGTCTAGGCATTAGGTCACTTAATAAAACAAGAAGAGCTGGGATTTAGCTCAGTGGCACAGCGGCTGCCTGGCAAGCAGGAAGTCATGAGTCCAGTCCCGGTTCCAAAAAAAAAAAGAAGAATAAAACAAGATAATTAGCTATTAAATAATTATAAGCTATCAAATAATTACAATAATATAAGTGCTTATACAAAACAAAATACAAAAGTGGTAGAAGAACAAAGGAATGAGTGACTAATTCTTCCTCAATTCCCTTTTCTGGCAGTACACAATATGAACAGGATGATATGACCCCTATTAATAGGGATCCTGTTTCACAATAGTTTCATACGCCTAAAGTCACTCAGGAAATGCCTTCATTATGGAACCTGCTGCAAAACCAGTGTAGGGCCGGGCGTGGTGGCGCACACCTGTAATCCCAGCACTCGGAGGCTGAGGCAAGAGGATCATTGTGAGTTTGAGACCAGCCTGGGCTACAAAGTGAGCTCAAGACCAGCCTGAACTGCATAGTGAGAGCTTGTCTCAAAAAGACAAAAAAAAAAAAGTAGGTTCTTTGGATACCAAATAAAGTCCCCATTCTTGATAACTGTAATATGTTGGGGAAGTCATGATGCCTCTCCTAAGAGATCTTAATCTAACAGGAGAAATACATTTGGACAGCCTATTCAAAGAGAAGTGAAATAGGGGCTGGGGATTTAGCTCAGCGGCAAAAGCGCCTGCCTGGCAAGCGCAAGGTCGTGAGTTCGGTTCCCGGTACTGGAGAAAAAAAAAAAAAAAAAAAAAAAGAGAGAAGTGAAATAAAAAGCTGTGCTTAGGGCTAGGGATTTAGCTCAGCGGCACAGCACCTGCCTGGCAAGCATGAGTTCGATTCCCAGTACAGTGGGGGTGGGGGGGCATGGTGAGCTGTGCTTAGTGGTGCACATCTATGATCCCAGCAGTCGGGAGGCAGAGGCAGGAGGATCCCTCTGCATTCCAGGCTAGCCTGAACTATATAGCAAGACCCTGTCTCAAAAAAAAGTAAAACTGGAGGAAAGTAAGGAGAACATTTTGGTCCAATCTATGAACACTAGTGAAATTTCACTGAATGGCTGGATATCCAAAATATTACATTATTTAAAATGAATATGTGCTTTATGATTGTATTTTAAAGCCAGTAAAGAAAGGCCTTTCACACACACATATACACACACACACAAACTGGAGGGCTGGAGATGTGGCTCAGTGGTAAAGCCTTTACTTAGCAGATAGGAGATCCTGGGTTTGATCCCCAGGACCACAATACAAATAAATCACTGGAAATCTAACGAGATGGAGAAAATTGTATTTAATGGATTTCCTCCAAAAGACAATTCTGAGTATAGTTGGGAAACATTTTGCTAAATCCCTGCTTTGAAGTGGCAGTAGAGGGAGCCTCCTCAAAGACATCTCTCTAAAGAGGAAAGGTCCCATAAAGGATGGCTTGCTGAGCAGAGTTGGCAAGAGGTGTACTGCAGTTCATGGCCCATTTTCACCCTTTTTCCATGGGGCACTCAACCTTTCTGAAAAGACATTGAACAAATGTTTCAAAAATACTTTTTTTGCTGGGTCTGGTGGCACACACCTGTAATCCCAGTACTCCAGAGGCTGAGGCAGGATTGCCACAAGTTTGAGGCCAGCCTGAACTACATAGAAAGACTCTGTCTCAAAAAAAAAAGATTATGGTATGAGCTTTACTTTGACCAATATAGGCGTGCCTTGGTGGCCCACGCCTGTAATCCCAGCACTTGGGAGGCTGAGACAGGAGGATCCTTGAGAGTTCAAGACCAGCCCGGGCTACAAAGTGAGCTCAAAGCCAGCCTGAACTGCATAGCAAGACCCTGTCTCAAAAAGACAAAAACAAAACTTTGGACCAATATAGTCTGCAAGTTTTCACCTAATTTGATGTTTTCAAATAGATCCTTGAGTGCTTTTTCAGTGGGTTGGTTGGTTGGTTGTTGGCTATATCAGGCACTGAACCCAGGGCCTTCATATGGAGCTACATACTCAGCCCTTTATTTATTTATTTTTATTATTATTGTTTTGAGACAGGGTGTCACTAAATTACTAAATTGCCCAAACAGGGCTCCAACTTGCAGCCCTCCTGCCTCAGTCTACCAGAGTGCTGGGATTGAAGGTGCATGTGCCCCTGGCTTACCCCTGTCCTCTCTCTTTGTATTTGCTTGTTTGTTTAAAATTTTGAAACAGGGTGCTGGGGATTTAGCTCAGCGGCACAGCACCTGCCTGGCAAGCACAAGGTCGTGAGTTCGATTCCTGGTACCGAAAAAATTAAAAAATAAAAAAAAATTTGAGACAGATTCTCGATAAATCACTAAATTAGATAGGTTGACCTCAAACTTGTAATCTTCCTGCATCAGCCTCCAAAGTAGCTGGGATTACAGGTGTGTGCTACCACACCCTGTTCTTTTGTTTTGATATTTTATGTTTAAAGTGATTACCAGATTTTGTGTTGCTTTTTGGTTTGTTTGTTTTGAGGGGTTTTGTTTGTTTTGAGGGGTTTTTTGATAGTACTGGGGATTTAGTCTGGGGCCTTCACACTGACTATAGCCGCAACCCTTTTTTAAATTTTTGAGACAGGGTTTCACTAAAACTGCTAAATTACCCAGACTGCCTCTCTGTTGCTTTTGCTGTCTTCTGCCACCATGAACTGTTGCCCCTCTGACATGTGCCACCCTGCCTTGGAGCCAGCTAATTATGGACTGAAAACTCTACAAAATGTGAGATAAATAAACCTCTCCCCCTTTAATTTAGGGTATTGGGTATTTTGTCCCAGCAACAAGAAAAGTAACTAAGATAGAATTTGGTACCAGAAGAGTAGGGTTGCTGCTATGCCTATACCTGACCATGTGGTTCAGGAGCCTTTGGGAATGGCTTATGGGAAGAGTTTGTATAGGTTCAGAGATGCCAGCTAAAAAAGTAGAACTGGAACACCTTATGCTGTACTGTATGGAAGACTCTGGTCAGAGCCCACAAGATCAGAAGGCTGATAGAAATCCTGTCAGTAAAGACCAGGTTTTGGAGATTTCTGCTGAGAAGGAGTGCATTGGCTGTTGGGCTTCAGATAATGTGTATTATGGCTTGGGAGAAAATTTGTCTGCATTTTGCTCATGTCCAGAGACTTTGCCTGAGACTAAGATTAAGGGTGGCAGATTAATTAATTGAGCAGAAGAAATTTCAACACAGTCTAATGTTGAAGTGGTGGCATGGCAACTGTTGGGGGCCTTTAGCCAGATCTGTGTTAAGAATCAAGAGCAAAGAGCCCAGCAGAATGCTTTAAGACACTATGACTTTGGCCAGAAAGGATACTGTAGCAAAGCTGTGGATTGCAAAGATGAAGCAGAGGATATCTCAATTGCTGAGAAGAAACAGGACAATACAAAAGATGTCCTGAGAGCATCACAAGAAGGAGCAAGACTCCACCCTTTGCAACCTCAAAATTGCAAAAGTGAAAGACTTTGCTTGGAAATGAAGGCCCAAGACCACCATGTTCCTGAATGGTGGCAGACTAGAGAATTTGTTCCTCAGGATTGGATTCAGTATGCAGCAATCCAGGCACTCAATCCCTACAGCCAAGAGAGAGAGAAGCCTGGCTGCTGCTCCAGCTCAGCACCAGTTTTAGGCAAATGCAGAATATATGAGTTGTGGGGTTAGGAAGGCTTCTACCCAGATTTCAGAAGAAAGCCTGGGTGGCCAGGTCGTATGCCCCTGAGAAGGCAACGTGTGAAAGTGTGAGTGTGAAGTCAAAGGTACAGTGAGACCTCAGAAGGTTAGAGAAGCCAGGAACATGGGTCATCTGAGGAAAACTACAAGGAGGGAGCAGAGTGGGCCCAAGAGAGAAGCCATGGGAGCTACAACCACTGGAAGTACCATAGGGGTGGAGTCACCGATAACCTTTGGAGTTGACATCTTGCCATAGATTGCCTCAGATGCTGTCCATGGAACTATAGGACTTAATGTTTGCCCTGCTGATTTTGGACTTGCTTCAGTCCTATTCCTTTGTATTCCCCTCTTTGTAACTTTTGGAATGGAAACATCTATCTTGTGCCACTGAATATTGGGAGTGTTTAACTTTCTTTTCATTTGTACAGGGGCTCACAGCTAACAGTTTGGCTTAAATCTCAGAGGAGACTTGGGACTTCAACTTTTCAGCAATGCTGAAACTGTTAGGTCTTTGGTAACTCTTAGAGATTGACTAAATGCCTTTTGCATAAAGGGATATGCATCAGTCTTTGAAGGGCCAGTGGTAGAATGTTATGGTTTATGTATAGATGTCCCCCCAAAGCCTCATGTACTTTTAGATGGGGTGATGGGGCATTTTCGGAGATAGCTAAATCTAGAGTTTGTGATAGATTCATGGTTCAGTGCTTGGATTAAGAGTGCTA